CCAGGACAATGTTGCAGTGCCGTCCTAGGTTCCTAAGCAGAGGAAGGCTTGGACGGTCCTTACTCGGGCACGAGGGGCCTCAGGATAGAATTTCAGCTCATTCACCAAAAAGGAGCTTTAGATCAATTCATCCTACCCCGGAGCCTCAGTTTCCCCTCCGGTAAAATGAGGTGGGCAGGTGGCAGGAGAAGGTCTTTTTAACACCGGTGTTCCACTGCGCTGGAGAAGGTATTCTTTGATTCTATGTCTTTGTCAACATTTCGTCTTGTGGACACCCTTCTTTCAAAGCACAAAGGAAAAACTCAGGCTTTCTAGAAAAAGCAATCACTAGAATTTCCAACACAGAATGAGTTGACATCTAGAGAGCACGTAAGGGATTGCCTCCATTAAAGTACACGGAACCCACAGCACAGAACCACAATGGACCGACGAGAGGGCATTCCTGCCCCGGGGACCCACGGTCATGGCTGCTCTGGCTTGGCCTTAAAAATCCTCAGTAGGACTAACGTTTCAGCCTCTCTCTAGCCTGTCGCACCTGTCCTCAAAACCTCCAGGAAGGCAGCATCATCACAAGCACTTACCCCCTAAGATAACATCATCCAAAACCATCTCCCTTATCACACATTCCTCAGCAACATGGAGGGCTCTGGAAAGGGCCAAAGGCCACCAAGTCACCAGCCACCCTTCCAGGTAATAATGCGAGGCTCTTTGCAGGAACTGGGTTAGAAAACCTCAAGCATCTCAAAGTCATACAGACATTTAACCAAGTTTTATGCTCCCTCTCAAAAACTCCTAACCTTGAGGCAAGGAAGCGTGTGTAGGCGGTGGATACTGTATGTTTGTGTAAAACACTGGACATGGTCTCTTAAAGTCTCTTGGGTCCAACAGAGTCTATTGCATGCTTACGATGTGCTAGCTGTCACACTGTGTGTGGGGGGCAGGGGAGGAGGCAGACAGCAATCCACCAAAACTGACCTAAGAGAGTCGCGATCCAGCAGGAGACAAAGACCTTGCATATCCGATTGCAACACTGCCTGATTCAGCATCTCTTAGAAATCGCCAGGCCTTGTCAGATGTGGGACTGACATCTAGTCAATCAATGAACAGTCTCAGATAAAGTCTCCATATTCCCGCACTCACCCCCTCACGGGACACGTAAAACGTGTACATTTCCTCGTAAGCAGCTACAAAGAATATCCAGACTCCGGATGCTGGTGGAGAACTTGGCGGCCATCTCTCTGCTATCCGACTCCTATCAAATGTTGAAAGACATGATATTTATGATATTTATGGATGTTTTTCCTAAGTGCGCATGGCCCAGCTATGCTTTTGTCAGCATTTCCCAGAGTCATATATTAGAGAGAACGCTACTCTACAAAATGTTTTAAGGACACTGGGCGGGGGTGGAGTTCCTTGTCTAAATAAGTTTAGGACAAGGTCTGAAATGGTCACTCAAGCTTTTCTTAAACCACAGGTCCTCTCCGAAGTTGTGTGCATACATGCACGTGGGTGTCTGTTGCATGTGCACCTTTGGGGGCACGGATCTTAATCTCTTGGCTTGACTGATGCACCCCAAGTGCCTAGAACAGTGGCTGGCACATCAGTTATTCAAATGAATAAATGAATGTCACATGAAAATCTTCACCTTCAATCAACACTGATAAAATACATTGAATGTTAATAGAATTTAAGAGCTCATGGAAACACGTAACTATGAGCACATTCCATCATTTGGCATGAGGACACACATATGTATGATGTAGGGGAAAACCTCAAACTACCAGAGAACTCCGTCAGTAAATGCAACATTTAATGACAACTTAACCAAACAGAGAGAGGAGGTCAGCAGTCTCAAGCCCATAGCAGCTACAACAGACAGAACATCATCGAGTAGGGATACCCAGCAGAGCACAGAGGAGATGTGGGATGTGCTCCTTGCCCAACTTCTGTAGCTTAAATGGCAGCTGGGACCCCACTTTCTCACAGGGTCTGACTCGCTTGACTTCAGCCAGATCAGCAGCTCTTCCAAAACTCAGCCTCCTAACCCCCTACACAGAGCATGCAATCTATTCAAAATCTTGGGTTTCACAAGCAAGGGTCACATCGCATGGCCTTCTCCTATCTCGGCGGTTCCAACATCTCTGTTCTTCAGCTCTCTCTCCCACACTTTTGAATTCAGGGGCTCCAAATCCTTCACCCTTCCTTGTAAGAGTGATTTCTTCTTTCCTCAAAGACTCAGAGGAAGGCAAGAAGCACTCTGGTTCTACCCCAAACTTACAAGCCCATCCTACGTCTGTGAACACCCCCCCAGCCCTTTGCTTTTTGGGTGGTCAGCCATCATAACCCCTCCTACTGTTTACAGTCATCCTTGGGGGACCTATGTTAATCCAATTCAGGTATCCCGCTCTCCCATGGCTAACTGCCAGGACACCCAAACTTGACCAAGGCTGTGAACCCCAAGCAGAATGATAATGGCGGGGACAGGGGAATGGGACAGGTGAAATTCTCTCATTTTGATGGCAATGGAGCCATCAAGGTTCTTGGTAGCGTGACCTCAGGAATTACCAGGTTTTTGTCCATTTTGAGGCTGTTACTTCAGACTTTTTCTTGACTCCATGGTCTCTACAACAGCCTTTCCATAAACTCTCTTGTGCGTCTTAGCCCGCTATTTCTGTTGCTTACAACCAAAGGGCCTACCTTGTCCCAGTGGGAGAACAAAGACCTCTTCTCTGATGTGAACAGTCAGGGTCTATAAGAAAAGGTTTCTTTTTCTCATTTCTCATCTATTAACATCTTCCTCTATTCATGTTATATTAAATTTAGTTTGGGAAATGCTCTATTTGCTCTAGGCTTTATTTCTGAATCCATATTATCTGGATGTGTTTTCTATTGCTGTGTAACAAATCACCCTGAACTTAATGGCTTAAAACAACCTAGTTTTCATATCTCACTGTTTCTGTAGGGCAAGCATGGTGCAAGTGAGTTCTCTGCTCAGGATCCCACAAGACTGAAATCAAAGTTTGTGCTAGACTTGTGTTGTCATCTGGAGCTCAAGATCTTCTTCGAAGCTCATTTAAATTTTTGGCACAATTTCAGTTTCTTGTGACTATAGGACTGAGGTCCTTATTTTCTCATTAGCTGTCACATGAAAGCCACTCTTGGCTCCAAGAAGTTGCCCTCAGGTTCTAACCCCAGAGCCCTTTCCTGACATGGTAGCTACTCCTTTGAGACTAGCAAGAGAACCTCCATACCTCTAGATTTTCTTCCAGTGGGCTGATTAGGTCTGGCCACCCGAGATGATTGAAGTTGACTGATTAGGGACTTCAGTTATGCCTACAAAATCCCTTCACCTCTGCCTTACCATATTATCTAATTATATGAGTGACATTCATCATGCTCCTGTCCCACACTCAAGGAGGGGGGACTGTGAAGGTCATGTAGGGGGCACAGCATGAAGTCTAGGGGGCCATCTTGGAATGCTGCCTACCACATAGACTTAATCATAGCTCTGGGCAGCGTAACTGCCTTTTACTTGTCTTTTGGATTGTTATAAAGGAATGCTTACAATAGTTCATACAGGGCTATTGTTGGGGTTACTGTTTCTTACATCATTTAGCATTTGCTATATGATGTTCCATATAATACATATATTTTTGTAATTAAGAACAAAGGAAAATTATGCTTCCTTGAGCAAATGGCAGTTTGGGCCTTAAGATCCACAGGAATCATTTAACTAAAACGGATTCTCTTTTTGCTTTAACTAGTGGGAAGCTCAAAAGCAAATACATAGGTCGGTCTAGGTAACTCAGAAGTTTATGGGCACCTGTGTCTTACAATACCTATGTCGTCTTCAACCCCCCTCCAGCCTCACTCTTTCATCTTAATTCAAAATTTTTCTGGCACTGAGTTGGGTTGTGTTTTTTTTTTTTTTTTAAGGTACCTATTCTTATAAGTGGTTTCCAAGAAATAGGGCATAAATACAAATGAACATAAGCAAAATATTAATAGCTAGTGTAAACCAAGCCACTATTATGCAACCATCTTCTATAAGCATGGTCTCGTCTGATCATTACAACAAAACCATGAAATGAGATGCTCTGAGTATCCTGATGGTATGACTGAGGAAGAGGAGGCTTATCGAGAAGAGGTAGGGCAGCCGTTCAAGCCCAGGAGTGCCTGAAGCCAGTTAACTGCCCTGCTGCACCGATTTTAAAACCTTTACATTTCAGGGGCGCCTGGGTGGCTCAGTGGGTTAAGCCTCTGCCTTCGGCTCAGGTCATGATCTCAGGGTCCTCATTGGACTCTCTGCTCAGCAGGGAGCCTGCTTCCTCCTCTCTCTCTCTGCCTGCCTGTCTGCCTACTTGTGATCTCTATCTGTCAAATAAGTAAATAAAATATTTAAAATAAAAAAAAATAAAAAAAATAAAACCTTTACATTTCAAAGGGAGGAAAGAGTGGGGATAGCGGTTTGCCTCGGAAACCTTCAGGCTAGACCCAGATCACGGGTGTGAGGACAAGAATTGCTTTCTGCACACCTTGCTGCCAACCGCCCTTCTACAACCTAAAACGAAGTTCTTTGGGATGCAGAATTGGACAGCCAGGCCCTTCTCAAAGCCGAGGAGAGAAGGGGCCTCAGAAACAAAACAATGACTTAGAAATAAGTAAACCTTTTCCACAGTGAATTGCAAGCAGGTGTGAGAGCACAGCACACTAAGCCCCAAGCACAACACGCCTGTCTCCAAATAGAACACCCTTCTGTATACACCATGCTGAGGAATAAATGTGTCCTTAAGACAGAATATGGAAACCAGAGTTAGAAAGGCATGTTCTTAAGGCACATCCCTCTACCAGCCCATGTATCTTTAACCTCTATTCTCAAGGATGTCAGTTATACAGTAATTCCTCCTTAAAGTCCACTAATGGCTGTGTTGGTGGTTTATATCCATATCACTGTGAGGTTTATAGGAAAATAAGCAACATTTATTAGTTTATATACTTACCAAAGCCCATAAATATCCATGATTGGAGAGGCTGGCCTTTTGTCACCATGACTTGTGGCGCCACCTAGTGACAGCCTTTCTGATTGCACGCACGGACCACAGCAAGACTCTTCCCTAGGACTCGCTCTCTATCCCCTCACCTATAAAGTTTCCGCCAGAATCACATGGTCTGCATTTTATCTGGAAGTCTATCTCAGAATTAGTAATATCCAGGCAAAGGCTGAAACATTCTCACTCTCGGAGACACAGACTAAGAAAGATTCAGAGCTAGAGGTCAGCGGAAGGCTCCTATTAACCACTTGGAGGTTCAAGTACCCTATAAATTCAGATTTTACTGGTATATCTTCTGAAGTGCATAAAAACTGGCAAGAGAGGTTATGTCGCTTCCAGTAGCCGTAGGCAAATGAGTGGTAAAGGGCATCAGTCCAACTGCCCACATCCGCAAGCTGTCCACATTCCTTTCCCAGTGCCTTTGGAGCCAGCTCTGCCAGGCTGACAAGCCGGGCCCTGCCAGTGTGTGGGAAGGCACCATCGCAGAGGGCAGCAGGCCACCCTCGCACACGACGTCCTGAAGGAGGTCGCCCCACTCTTTGCACTGAATTTAATGTGCTCCAGGCGTTTGCACTTCCCGTTGGCCTGCCCTTCCTCTCCAAGGCACACCCATCTGGGCGACAGACACCCTCCCTCTGCCTTGTCACCCTTTCAGCTCTCCAAATCATGGTCCAGGGATGCTTCACGTCCTGTCCGTCCTCCAGATCTCCCTCCATACTGAAGCTTTTCTTTCTGAAAATGAAAAACTGCCACAACTCCCCGAGAATCATCCAACAACGTTCCTTGTTCTGGGTTTTGTTTTTGTTTTTGTTTTTTGGCTGTTTCACTTTTTCCGTTCTTTCCAATAGGCTGACCAGCTCTGGAGCATGCCACAACAAATATGTGGGTCACAGCTTGCTTTAATGATGTGCTTTCGAAACGGTGGTTTTCATCCTGGATGTGTTTTTGGTTGTTTTTCCGTAAGAATCCGCAGGCGTTTCTGCTGGGAGTGGCATCAGGAGAGTAGGGCGCCCCAGATTTCCCAAGGGCTCCATTATCCTTGGCTCCGAGGGAGGCCCTTCCACACCTGCACCCTGCCATCTGCAGGGTGTGCGCTGGGCTCCCTCTGGGGGTGGGGGGACAGTGGAGAGGAAGCGACTACCTCTATCTAGGGGGCACCCAGACTGGCCCATATGTCCTGTGTCAGCCATGACCTACTTCCCTAATAGGTGAAACCATGTCCAAGGGGATGACTTTGAAGGAAGAAAAGGGGTCTCCGGGCAACTCCATGGGGTCTTAGGGGTCTGGGGGAGACATGAGTGCTTTGTCTTGGTAGCCCTTGTGACATTCCAGAGCAGGAGCTAGGGATGGGCTGATGAGTGAGCCCGGAGCATCTTTGATGAGTTCTGGGCTGGTGGAAAGGGACACCAGTCAAAGTGGGTACAGTTAGCCTAAGTTATGCATTTAATTAGTCCAGATATCAAAGCTCTATAGAATACAATTACCAAATAGAGACAGAAGACTACCCAGTTAAGTTTGATGTCTAGATGCAATACAAATATTCTGATGGCATAAGGGTGTCCCATGCATTTGAAAAAAAAAAAAAAGGCTCTTTTTAATCTATTGTTGTATTTTGCTATAATCATAACACTAAAGAAATGGGTACTTCTGTCTCAGGGCCTATCAACACCGGGGGCATTTCCCCCACATTCAAAGCAAACTCAGCATTAGCCAGGCTTCCCGCTCAAGGGTTGAAAGCAGACATCGGCGCCCTTATGTCTCTGACCCTTGGCTCTGCTCTACTTTCCCGAAGTCCACGTCCCTGCACAACCAAATCTTTCTCACACTCTGCAGAAGGATCAGCTCTTTTCTCCCCTTCCCCCAAGCCTCCAGGCCCATCTCCTCATGGGACTTCTTCTGCCACCAACTTCAAATACACACACACACACACACACACACGAGGGCTCTCCTCCATCCCTCACACAATGAGAAGAAACACGCACAATGTGAGTGTATTTAATGCCACAGAACTATGCACTTAAAAATGGTTATAAAGATAAATTGCATGTTATGTACGCTTTACCACAATTTTAGGAGAGAATATGTAAGGCACAGAGCTGTGTCTTCCAGGCTAGCTGACAGAGCATCCCAGCAGGCCATGCCCGCCCACAAAATTCGATCAAAATGGCGTCTGCTCTCATCTCCTACTACCTGCCTCCACGTGCTCTTGACTTGACCTGTGTGCAAACCCACGGCCTTTCCTACTTCCATGTTGTGTCCCCATGTGGCTCTGTCGCCCTCACAGGGCCCGACTCATTTGTCTCCTGCCAAGGAAAGCCCACTCCTCTAGGACCCTGAGCAAGCTCCTTCCTGAGCTCTCCTGTGTTGATCCCACCAGGGAGGCTGGGCCAGGGATTCGTCTGCTGTTTATGAAGTATTAGCAATGCCTGATCCCTCAACAATTTTCTTTTTTCTCCCAAATGTCAAGTCAGCTTCTCAGTGGCCAAACACAATAACGTGTCCTTATTCAACCCCAAACTCCCCTGACTGGCAGGTACAAAGCTTTCTCACAACCCACGGAGCCCACAGAGTACCTTTTTATCTCCCGGGCGTTTCACTCTGCCAAGGTTTCATGCATTGCCCCTCCCCCTACCTCACAGTGGCCAGGGCTGAGAGGACCCTTTCACTGAACCCCACGGTGACCCCCCCCCAATCTCATCTATATGCCAGGAGAGTCCCATGCACCTCTCCTCAACAGGGTTGTGTCCTTCCCTGCTTTGATTTCTTTTCTGCAGTGCCCCACCACACAAATCTTCTGTCAGAAAGCTCTTTCAGGCTCTAGTGAGTTGAAGAATGTCCCCACCAAATTTACGTCCATCTCAGAATGTCACCTTATTTGGAAATAGCATCTTTGCAGGAATAGTTAAGGTAAAGGCCGAGGTAAGATTATACTAAGGTTAGTGTGGGCCCTCGATCCACTGAGAGGTCCTTAAAAGAAACAGACAAGAACACACAGACCCAGAGGAGAAGGCAAAGTGAACATGGGGACAGAGATGGGAGGGATGCATCTAGAAGCCAAGAAATGCCAAGGACTGCTGGCACCGTGAGAAGCTAGGAGACAGCCATCTCCCTCAGTGCCTCTGGAAGGAACCAATGCTGCGAACGCCACGATTTCTAACTGCTGGCTCTTTCCCTAGGTGTGTGCTCAGCCAGGTTGACCAGGAGTCGGTGCCTGTCAGGAGGGCAGTTCTTTTCCTCTGCAAGCTCATCTGTACTCAAGTCTGGTCCCTGGATACCAGTCATGGAGGAGCAATCCTGCAATGAAAGGCCAGTGGCTCTTTTTTTTTTTTTTTAATAGGTGGAACTTGAACTCATGACCCTATGATCAAGACCTAAGCTGAGATCAAAAGTCAGACACTTAACTAACTGAGCCATCCAGGCGCCCTAAGGCCAACAACTCTTGCTGTCCACTCCCTTTTGAAATAGCTGGATACAATCTCTCTAGAGGTCCCTGGTCTTACCAGCATTCTCCTATCTTTGGTTAGGAAAGACAGTACATTCTTTCTGCAGCCTCTGTCAGCCTTTTTAGGTTTCAGGGAGAATGGACAGCTTCAAACATCCCCCCAGGATCCACAGATCCCCAAACACCAGCTTCCTGTAGCAGACGTGCTGTCCTTGGGCCTCTGTACTGGGCTCTCGCAGCCTCTCCAGTAGATGGTTCCTCCCATGGGAGAGGAGCCCACGTGAGTCCCCTCCTGACCTAAGTCAAGAGTGACTTCAGCCTCATCCCCTCCCCATGGCCCTCTGCTGACAACAACTCAAGGGTACTGAACAGCTTGGGGTTGGAAACACCAAGTAAGAGTAGGATTTGGAAGACCAAGCTCTGGACCCTCTGTTCCTACAAAACATGCCATTCTAGAATACTCACTTGTGTACTAGATCCTAAAACTCACACCAGTGCACAGACTCATTTACTCTCTGGATGAGAACAGAGACTCCAGATCTCCACCATGACCAGACACAGTAAGGATGAATCTAGAACAACTGCCACAATTTAACCAAAGCCATTATTAATATCTTCCCACTCAACACACCGAAGACCCAGAGCTGCTCACACAAACAGTCTGGAATCGGTTGATGTCATTTAAAAAGGTCGCATTATACATGGACCGGTCAGTTCTAAGACAGATGCTGACCTTTGCTTTAGAAAATCTCCCTGTGCGGCACAGGGCAGGACCATGGCCAAGGGGATTAAATCTGAGAAAATGGACCTTTATCCTTAACCTTTCATTTTTAACTCCAGCCAAACATTTCTGTCATTTAGAAAGTATGATTAGCTTTTAGATAAGTTTTTTTTTTTTCCTTCAGCAGGGAACATGTGTCACTTCTCAAGGAATATTTCAAAAGCAATTACAAATGTCTCAAAAAAATGATGATTTGGTTTTCATTTCAGGAGTGGGTGGTGGTAAAACAAGGCCAGATTCAATAGATCAGTATTCCAGTGAGCCCTGAGAAAGGGCTAGAAACCTTCAAATCAGGGAACATCAGTAAAGCCCAACAGAACCAGAGTGAATGGCTAGAATCCAGAATTTATGCCTGGGTCCTTCTGGCTTCATGTGGGCAAAGTCCTATATGGAGTCCTCTCTTTTATATGACTGTTTGTTTTAACAACAAAAAGAAGAAAAAATACATAATTATATTGCTTCTTATCATTACTTACATTACCGCCTTTCCTGTTTCATTTGGATTTGAATTACTGTCCGGTGTCCCTAACTTTCTGCCCGAAGACTTTCAGTATTTAAGGAAGGCCTGCTAGCTGGGAAGTCTCTGTTTTTTTTTTTTTTCTCTGCAAATGGAGGAATGTCTTCATTTTTCTTTCATTTTTTTTTTAAGCCAACTTTATTCAGAGATAACACACTTACCATAGAGAACACCCGCTAAAAACGTACCATTCAGTGGTTTTTAGGATAGTCAAGAGATCTTCCAACCATCACTACAAACAATTTTAGAACATTTTTCTTGCCCCGCAAAGAAACCCTATGGGTGCCTGTGTGGCTCAGTCAGTTAAGTGTCTACCTTTGGCTCAGGTCATGATCCCAGGGTCCTGGGATCAAGTCCGCATCAGGCTCCCTGCTCAGTGGGGAACCTGCTTCTCTCTCTCCTCCCTGCTCATGCTCTATCTCTGTCACTACCTCTGTCTCTAAGTAAATTAAAAAAATCTTAAAAAAAAAAAAAAAAAAAAGAAATGCTGTATTCATTGGCAACCTGTTGCAGGTTAAACTGTGCCTCCCCTATGCCCCAATAAAAAAGAGATGATGAAGTTGAGTATTAGCCCCAGTACCTCTGAATGTGCCTTATTTGAAAATAAGATATCCGCAGATGCGATCAAGTTAAGGCCATCAGGTGGACCCTAACACATATGACAAGTATCCTTAGAGGAAGAGTGAAATCTGGGCACAGTAACACAGAGAAAAGAATGCCACGGGAAGCCAGGTACAACACACAGGAAGATGGAGGCAGAAACGGGAGTGATGGAGGGGTGCCTGGGTGGCTCAGTCAGCTAAGCAGCTGGCTCTTGGTTTCAGCTCAGGTCATGATCTCAGGGTGATGAGACCAAGCCCCACACAGGCTCTG